CCCCCCCCCCCCGAAAAAAAAATACAAATTTTCCAGATGTTTTGAATGCAACAATTCGCAAGTATTTTGTGCTGAAAGTATAAAAAAAACATAATTTTTCCGCAGAAATTCATGGAAAAATACTTTATGGAAGCTTCAAGATGCGTCCAATTAGTCGTATAAATTCTAAAATTTCTCGGGAGATTCCCCTCGGAAACCCCCCCCCCCCCCCCCCCCNCTACGTGCTTGGGGCACGGACCTTCAAACTGGTACCAGGGCCCGAGATGGGATGTGGCGGGCCTGCATGAAAGCTATTTCCATTAAAATCTTCCGTCACATTCATACGGCGCAATGATACAACTATTTGACTCTCCGGAATGCGTGAGGTATCACGCCGCATTTGAAGGCGTTTTCAAAACAGCTTAGTTCCGATACCCGGATAATTGTTTTGCTTAGTTCATATTCTTTTGTTATATTCCGTACTACTCGTTTATTTTTAATCCTCGTAGAAAAACCAGCCATCATTAATATAAACTTCGAAGGATTCAGACTTGCAGCGATTCTACCTTTTTCTATTTCACTCGAGAGGTTACCAGATTGTGCGATAAATGTGAATATTTTACATTGACTAGAATTGAGAAAAGTGTTAAAAAAGCAACTTATCTGGCAACAATAGAGTTCGGGAGGGACGAGAGGCTGCCTTCCTGGGAAAACCTATGATTTAGCTGGAAATTTCATTAAAACAATTGATTCTGTTTGAAGCATCAATTGTATACTAAGGGAAAGCTATTTTAAAATAATAATTGTAAATGGACACAGATGCTACAGAGAGGGAAAAAGGAAAAGGAAAGGAAATGAAAGTAGGATATGATTACTAATATGCAATAAGAGAGAATAAAACAAAAACATCAGAGAAATTTATATGCGATGAAAGTATAAGAAAAAAACACGAGTGGGCTCATTGCGATTTGGAATTTGAACTATACTATCGTTGAGCAGTTTTTAGACCCCTACGCCACCGATAATCTTCTTAAGAGGTAAATATGAACTTTTGCTACTTCAGCAAGTCAAATCGCGGAAGGAGATCCATGGACTGTCCACCCGATGGGATGACGTCCCAGTCAAATGCGTTGTTGAGGAAATGATCGATCCCCATCATCGCTTCATCTCCACACATCTATTCATGTGCAAATGATAGCATGCTCCGGCAGCAAGGTTCTGTGACGAATTCATTTTTGCCTCCAGAGTCTCCAAAATGTATACATCTTAGTGATCAAATGTCCAATGACTGAGAAAAATGGCTCGCGAAGCGAGCCGAATGTCACTCGCGTAGCGAGTGATCGGGGGTCCAGAGGGCGCAGCCCCTTGGCTGGCCGTGACAAACGCGAAAAGTGCGCCCAGAACGGCTAGTTTGTAAATACAATTCTAGCTGGAGCGCACTTATGCTATGCACTCACCACTGCAAAAATGTCAAAGGAAATCGACACGCCCAGCGTGCATGGAGGTTATTTCCATTTAAATCTTTCGTCACATTCTTACGGCGCAATGATACAACTATTTGAACTCTCCGGAATGCGTGAGGTATCACGCCGCATTTGAAGGCGTTTTCAAATCAGCCAAGTTCCGATACCCGGATTATCGTTTTGCATAGTTCATATTCTTTTGTTATATTCTGTGCCACTTGTTTATTTTTAATCCTCGTAGAAAAACCACCCATTTGTAAATACAATTCTAGCTGAAGCGCACTTTAGCTATGCATTCACCATTGCAAAAATTTCAGAGGAAATTGACAAGCCAAGCGTGCATGAAGGCAGGCCCGCCGCAAGGATCGGATACTGGGTCCCTGGTACCGGAGCCTGGGCCCCAGAGGGGTCCCGTTTTACCCGTTAAAAACCACTACGAATTCACGTGCAACCTTTGTTTCGGAAGAAAAAGTGAAAAATTTACCCTAATTTCGCAAAAGGTGAATAGATTTTCAGAAACACGCTGGGGCACAGTAGAATTCTTCTTAAATTTTCAAAGAAGTATACTTCTTGGAAAAGAGCGACGCCAAAAACGACCGTTTTTTGGCACAATTTGGGCCAGAAGGGATTTTTCTGAAACCGGGCCCAAACGATACCTTATGATACCCTAAAACTTTGGTAACAATTTTAGCTTGAGTATACGCACGGTTTTTTAGAAATGAGGGGGCAAAGTTGCCAAATCGCCATCATTCTGGACAGCATTTCTACAGCAAAAAGACGGGAAAAATGGGCGAAAAAGTTACACCTATGATAAGTTTTGGCTGTAAATGTTCTCATTGAGCCCCCAAGCATGTAACTGTGTTCAGTTTCAAAAATTTTGGTCGCACAGTGGTCCAAAATGGGGGGAAATCGTCGACAAATCAGGATTCTTTGTCAAATTTTTAGAAATGGAAGTAAAATTGTCGGTCTGCTGCAGTTTTCATGGCTAACAATGTTCGTATCGGTCATCAATGCATAAAACTGTGTTCAGCTTCACAAATTTACATCGCACAGTGGTCAAAAATGGGGGAATTAGTGGACAAATTAAGATCCTCTGTCAAACTTTTTGAAAATGAAGTGAAACTGTTGGTCCCCAGTAGAGTTTAAATCCCGGAAAAATTCTTTAAATTCTTTTTTTTACCATTAAAATCTTTGTTTAATTTTTTCTCTCCATTTTTCCTTCTTTTTTTAAATTTCCGAAAGTTTGCATATTTTATTGAGATAATGCTACAAAGTCTATTCTATAACAAAGTTCTATAGACAATACGGTCTGACATGTAGTAATCTTACTATAGTAAAAAAAAATAAGGCCTTTTTTGTGTGTACGTCCGTGTCATTTCGCATTCTCATTGGTCTTTCATTAACCAATCAGAAAACGTCATTGAAAATCCCCGGGAAATTTAAATGTATTCTTCCGTAAAGGAATTATTGATAGGTAGACAGGTATAAAAATGGGATGTATTTCTTCTAATAACCAGGATAAAAGGGAGGATTATTACATATACAGGATAGTCCTAGAAAAACGGGATGTACCTATATTAATAAACCGGGATAACAGGAAGGATATCGATCATTGTGTATCGATATTCGATGCATCGTTTGTTCTAAAGCAGTATTGACTGGGATAAAACGGGATTTCTTCATAATAACCGGGATAAAACGGGATAAAACGGGATGTACCTATATTAATAAACTGGTATAACAGGAAGGATATCGATCTTTGTGTATCGATCTTCGATACATCGTTTGTTCTAAAGCAGTAATGACTGGGATAAAACGGGATTTCTTCATAATAACCGGGATAAAAGGGAGGAATTTTACCTATACAGGATAGTCATGGATAAAACGGGATGTACCTATATTAATAAACCGGGATAACAGGAAGGATATCGATCTTTGTGTATCGATCTTCGATACATCGTTTGTTCTAAAGCAGTATTGACTGGGATAAAACGGGATTTCTTCATAATAACCGGGATAAAAGGGAGGAATTTTACCTTATACAGGATAGTCATGGATGAACGGGATGTACCTATATTAATAAACCGGGATAACAGGAAGGATATCGATCTTTGTGTATCGATCTTCGATACATCGTTTGTTCTAAAGCAGTATTGACTGGGATAAAACGGGATTTCTTCATAATAACCGGGATAAAAGGGAGGAATTTTACCTATACAGGATAGTCATGGATGAACGGGATGTACCTATATTAATAAACCGGGATAACAGGAAGGATATCGATCATTGTGTATCGATCTTCGATACATCGTTTTTTTCTAAAGCAGTAATGACTGGGATAAAACGGGATTCCTTCATAATAACCGGGATAAAAGGGAGGAATTTTACCTATACAGGATAGTCATCGATAAAACGGGATGTACCTATATTAATAAACTGGTATAACAGGAAGGATATCGATCTTTGTGTATCGATCTTCGATACATCGTTTTTTCTAAAGCAGTAATGACTGGTATAAACGGGATTTCTTCATAGTGACCGGGATAAAGTGGAGGAATTTTACCTATACAGGATAGTCATGGATAAAACGGGATGTACCTATATTAAGAAACCGGGAAAACAGGAAGGATATCGATCTTTGTGTATCGATCTTCGATACATCGTTTTTTTCTAAAGCAGTAATGACTGGGATAAAACCGGATTTCTTCAGAGTGACCGGGATAATATGCAGTAATTTTACCTATACAGTATAGTCATTTATAATAGTGGATGTAACTATGTTAAGGAACCGGGATAAAACACATCAAATGCATCATGAAACATAGCAAACACATCAAACACATCATGAAACACGTAAAACGCAATATACACATCATGATACACCTAAAACACATCAAACACAACAAACACATCATGAAACACAATCAAACACATTAAACACAACAAATACATCATGAAACACAATCAAACACATCAAACACAACAAACACATCATGAAACACAATCAAACACATCAAACACACCATGAAACACAATCAAACACAACAAATCGCATGTATCGATAATCGCACGTTTCGATAACCGCATTTATCGATTCCAAATTCCCCCAAATTTCCCCATTTATACAAAAAATTACGAATCTTCCTATTTCTCTACTGTTCGAAATTATATGAATTTAATTTTTGATCATTAATAATTGTATGTATTTCATTACAATTCTTTTCTCCTATCTTTGCGACTTATTTTTCATTATCAGTTGCATTACTTCATTATCATGTGATGAAAAACAGCTGAGTATTTTTCACCACTTGGTTTTTCAGTTTTAACCTTCAAAAAACAAAATTAAAAAAAATTTCGGAATGTCTTCTTTCAAAAAAATTAAAGATTTAAATGAGTATGCTTATAATATCCAAATTAAATGTAAGGTAATTTCAAAATCACAAGTGAAAGTTTCAAAATCTGGTTCGGTCGAGTTTTTCTTTTTCAATTTACAAGATGAATCTGCCACAATAAATTGTATTTCGTTTGAGAAGGGATTCCATCAAATTATTCAGGTATGTACTTATTTATGTATTAACCTCTTACTTTATTTTCTCTTTCTCTAATTCCATTTTTATATGTCAATTTTAATTAGCTGAAGAACTATTTACTAAAAAATGTTATGGAAAGTTATTTTAATTTTTCTTGGAATTGATTCTGAAAAAATGTATAAATTTTTTATTTAGTATAGGTATGCGAAGATAAGATTCTGTTGAAATTGTTTTCAGTGTTAACTTTTTTGTTCCAAAAAATGCATAATTTTAAATTTTGAATTGTAAGTTTGAATATGAGATCAGAAAAAAGTGGCTCATTTGAAACTCATTCTAAAATCTTATCTTCGAATTCTTCTAATTTTTTTTAACGCTTTTAGAAAGTATATAAATGCATCATTTATACCTGAAGCTAAACTTATGCTTTTTTCTGAACTATAATTTTCTTCATTTTCCCTTTATTTGTTTTAGGAACAGCTCTGTTATAAATTTTCGAAATTTCGTATTCAAAAACATAGATACAATAAGGAACTTCAATTGGTTTTCGACAAAGGATCTCTCATTGAATTGACTGATGATGATTTAGAACTGAATAATGATCCCAAATTTTATTCAATAGAAGAAATAATTTCTAAAACTAAAGAAAATGATACTGTTGGTAAGTATATTATTTAATTTTCGTAAATATATGATTTGGCTATGAAACAGTGTTGTGTCATATTGCATATAGAATTGCAAATGTCAGCTCAGAAATTTATTGTTCCATCAATCAGCGTTTGCCGAGTTTTCATATCATAAATTTAAGGGATTCTGGTTGGGAACATTATTTGTCGATTTAATGCTCTCACTATCTTCACCTACATTTTGCTTCTTTTTAAATTCGTGCCCAAATTGAAGTTATTTTATAAAATCGTACTCCCTAAAATTTTGGAGATCTGGGGTCTGATTGTTGAAATTGGTAGACAAAGCGATCGACAAAGAACATAAAGGGAGTATGGAGCGATCCAATTGGTTAACCAATTGGTTAGTCCAATTGGATATATCGATATTCGATATATCGTTAATCGTTATCAGTGATCTTCTTTGTCGTGATCGACAAAGATTTCTTCGACCTTTATTTCCTTTTTTTGAATTTTTCATTCTTAGCAAAGTTATTGCGAAAAATATGCAAATTTATGTTTGCCGATTTTTTGGCTAACATTGATCCTATGAACTTGAAATTCGTCATGATGAAATTGCCAGCTGAATTCCCTCTGATGAAGCTGTTTCAGAGGCGTGGCGTGCTTTGCGATGTATCGATTCTTATGCCATTTAACCCTGCTATGATAAAGAATCAATTATTAAGGCGTTAGATGCGAACACCATGTTTATCGATCCTTTTCCACAGGACGGCTTATCGCGAAAAATAAAAAAGAATCACGGTTTACAGAGCATACCATTGAACTTTCAGCATAAACCTTTTTATACATTGATTGAGCTTAATACGCACACGTGCTTCTCGAAGCCTTATTCTTTAGTCCCCATGCAATTGTTTTCTTTTGTTCCCGTTACCATCATCTGTCAAAATCAAACATCTTCCGTTTTGAGTACCTGGACTATTTCCCATTATAACAGGAAAAAAAAGGAATATCTCTCTCTATCGTGACCTGGCTCCTGAGACGAAAAAGTATACGTAACAAAGTCTGCGATTTGCTGCATGAATCAAATGAGGCTACTATTATACATACCACTGCGGTTATTGGTTATGGGCTTCGAAAGTCAAATCATGCCAAATTTGGAATATTCTTATCTCTAATTATATGTGTTTTTTCCCTTTTTTGTTTTAGATTTTAAAGGTACACTTTGCGAAAAGCCGTCCATTAAAAGGAAAAAATTGAATGATGGTGATGCAAAATTAAAACTAACAGTCAGAGTTACGGATGGAAAAGATAGTTGCGTAAGTTATCTTCTTCTATTATAACATTAATTATTAATTCAGACAACTCATATATTCAACAGTTACCTAATGATATTGCAAATACATATTTCATATTTCAAATAATTTAAAATCGCATTCTTACCACAAGAAAAGATATAGGATTGAAGACTTATTCGTATCATTCCGAAAAGAAAATGCAAATGGATACAATATCAATTTTATACTTTTTATTTTTTTCCTGTAAGTTCCTTAAAATTTCAAACAGAAGTACGTATTATTTTTCTCAAAAATAAACATTTTATCGGAAAAAATCAGCCAATTTTTTAATTTTCGAACGGCGTTATTACTTGACACGGCAGAGTAGTAAAGATAATTTGTTCTAGATTAAAGAAGTTTTATAACAATTTGGTAGAACAATATAGTGCGTACGTTAATGAAAAATTGTAAAGCTGTATTTGTAAACCAACAACATTCAAACTTCACAATTTTATTTCGCAGATTATATTATCAGCGTGGGAAACTAACATCCCTTTTAAGGAAGAAGAAGTGAGTGCAGGTCAGGAAGTAATACTACATAATGTATCTATAAAATCAATGGACGGTACCAAATTTCTTGAAATTAGTCACCAAACAATTGTTAAAATATAAAAAATCAGTCAAGGTAAGAAAATGTATCATTCAAGTTACCACCATTTGTGCATTTTAAAAGCGTCTATTTGAAGGATGAAAGCTTGATTAATTTTTATAGGCCCTACTCAGTTTTGGAGTCCCCAAATGAAGTGGCGGCCCTGTCACTATGTATTTGCTCCCTATCTTTTGCATGGAGAGTTCGTCTTGATGTAGAGTTGAACTCTCAGGGTAGGGCGGGATATCCCCTCCATTTTGGCCTCACTTTGAGAGCTTTGTTTGAGCTTGGGAGATGATTTTAGAGAAAACCAATGGCACCATCGTATTTCTTGCGAACTTTTACGTAAGAAACAGCAATCAAATCGAAAACCCCTCACACATGCAACATCTCCATTCTTGACATTATATCCTACTTTAGCACTGAAAAAAAACTCAGGCCGTGGGAGCCGTAATGGGCCTATTGCATACAAGAAATACAGCCGCGCGGATAGACTTTTTAGAGGTTAAATGACACTAAAATTACGATGGTCACATTAAAAAAGTCTGAAATATACTCCTTATGGCGGAATTTGCGTTGTTAGGAACGCGCTTTTTCAAATTTCCCGCGTCTGGGGGCAGTTTTTTAATCACCGGAAACGAGCAATCAGCACTCGGTGATTTCTGGAAGCTACCGAGTCGTTGTTGTTGTTGTTGTTATTTTTTTATCACTTTGTTCACAAACTCAACGTGATCATTTATAGTGGTCCATGAAGCTTTATGCGGTAAC